GCCAGCAGCATCGTTCTTTTGCTATATATGGTGCCGCTGCGATTCAGATTGGCAGCTCTTATTACGCTTTCCAGCATCAGATTGAAAAAGTCGCACGAGAGTGAATCGCCTTGTCTAAAACATCGTTTGGTCTCAAACGGCGCGGAGAGGTCCTTCCCAATTTGGACGGAGCTAAAGGTTGTGCTCAACGTCACTCTACACTATCTGTCACCAGCTTAGTGATAGTGGAAAATTTCTATACTGGCTCTATTCCCGTGTCTGTGAGAATCATTTGCTTCCTTCGGTTGAAAAAACTCAAGTACTATGTACATAGATGTGCAATATACATACGATTTATATACATTAGGGCGGGCCATTTGTTTTGACTATGCGCGTATTTCATAAGAGGATTCTACTTGTAATTCTAAGCAACTTTGCCGAAGAAACCATGGGTCTAAAATCAATTAGGGGTTTGCCATATTGCGAAAACAGGTTTAGAAGAAAATGTGGGAATTTTTACTGTTGTGCCCTCTGGTGGAAGTTTTAAGAAAAAGGGAAGTGCAGAAATGGATACCTCATAGCAAAAAACCCCTACAGCATGTTTTTGTACAAAATTTAAGCAATTCTTTACGACTCTACAGCAAGGCGCTGTGAAACCTATTTTCGCAATTTGGCAACTTCCAGATTGATTTTAGAGCCATGGTTTCTTCGACAAAGTTTCTTCGAATCACATGTAGGTATGTGCAATACGCGCATAGCCGAAAAAATCTCCCTTACAAACTGCCCCGCCTTAATATACCTACATATTTTATTTTCGCAATTTTAAAACTTCTAAAGACAAAAATAATTTACACAAACAGCGTTTTCATTCGTTTTCGCATTTAAATTGATCAATTGGCTGACATTTCATTGGCTAATCTTAATTTTGAACCAGCCAGCTCGAGTGTTTAAACTATGTTTAAACCACAGCCGTGCTCTGAAAAACTGCCCTAAGTCGCACAATTAGGTTTTTTGTTAAGCTTTTTCGCTTAATAAGTATATTTCTCTTTTTCGTTTTGACCATTGCACATATTTATTGCCCCTTTGTCAACGACTACCTCCCAAACGTTTGCCTATCGCAAATTTTACTATTTGCATTATCAAAGAATATAATCACTCAAAACACTTTTCATAATCTAGAAACTCTAAACATTTGAAAAAAGCATCGATGGTTGGAAATTGTTCTAATGTTTTCAAAATACACAGCTTCTAGAGTCCCCCACACGTTTATCTAACTTCTATCACTTTATTTTTCCCAAATTACTTCCTGTATAACTCATAAACTTGCTATTAGTTACAATTAATTTAAAGTGAATGAAGTTCCGCTGATATGGTTCATATGAACGGCGTTAATTTACCACAGAGAGCAGCGTTTCCTTATTTATCAATTACTAAATTTTCTTGCTTGGTATGGTATGCAAAAATCCCGTTTTTCGACAGAAAATCCTATTCGCCATTTTTAGTCACAAAATCCCGAAAAAGGGCGAGATCCCTCAAACTTGTAACACTTGTTTATACCCAGGTCCAGTTCCCATGCCCTGGGAGGTTCCTATGCCTGAAATGCCTGAAGCACAGGAAATGTCAGAAGTGACGATATCATCTGCTTTTGCCCAGACGCAAACTGAGTAAGTCTGCCAGAAATAAATAGTTTCTTACAAAATTATGCTCACATAAGCACGTCAGGACCTATATTTACGCCGATATACATATGTACTAAAGGTCTGCATCGGAATTCAGTTTGCTTCACTGTGAAGTTTTTTTCAAATATGTAAACTACTCATACTTTAACAAAGAGGGCATGGAGGGAAGAGAAGTGAAAATTTTGAGCACTGTATACATGAAAAAAGTACTCAAACAAAATATGTTCCGAAAAAAATAAAAACATAAACAAGCAGTACTATGGTGTTAAACTTCCACAAAAAATATGTTCCTTCACAAGTATTTTTTGAGTATTTTTGGAAGTTTTCGTTTAATAAATACTACATAATGTTAACAGACATGGAAAAACAATGTAGGGAATTATCAAGGCTAATACCAAGCTAGTCCAATACCGAGCAAGAGACAAAAGGGACTCCCACAGCAACACCTCGAAGGAGCGTTTTAAAATATGGGATGAATAAGCATTCCATATGGGTTATCTGCGGATGACCTGTTAAAGAAGAAACGTTATTTTTTACCAAACTGCTTCACCGATCATAACCAAATTGCGATGAACATATCTACTGGAAACCTTCCAAGGATGGTCATAGACCAATAAAAAATTCGACATATCAAAGGCGCGTGCGTATTTGCGGTAGAGCTTTGGAATTCGGTTGAGTGATATATGAAGACAAACCCAAACTTTCGAAGGGAAAATTACGTTATTGGAAAACCTGACACTATGGAGGTTAACGGACCTCTGAGTTCTAAAACCCCACATATATGAATTTTCAGGTTTATTCAATGCATTTTTCCCTGCTTGACGTTCAACTGACCACGAACCTCACGTGATAGAGGCTAACGGACCTCGGATTCGCATTTAGCCTGTCGAATAACATAGGGTTTGGTTTAATATGCATACCTGTGTAATTTTTATCAATATTTGTTTATAATTAAATCATTTTTCTTTTATATTTTACTCACTTCTTTAAGATAAATTTTCTGCGGATCACACGAACGAGAGTTCAAATAATACACAATGCAAAATGTTAGCTAAACCCTAATTGCGCGAAACAATAAAATAAGCCCCCTTTCTTCAACGAATCAAATTCGACAATGAAAATAAAATTTATGAATTTTCTTAACATTATGTTAAATGATAACATTTTGAAAGAAAAATCTTCATAAGTATTCGTATACTTCCTATGAAGTTTTCAAATACTGCTGAATTCAATAAACATACTCAAGTGTTTTGGAAAAGCGAAACAGTGTTTTATGTAGCAGAGCACTGTTGAGTAACATTGCTCAGTTATTCAAATTTATGATGTTCTCTTTTTTTCTTCCCATCTTTTTTAGTACTCTAAAATTCATGTTCCATTTACTCATGTACACATGTGAAGAGTATTTCTGCTGGTATATTTGCAGACCTTTAATATGTACATACGTATGTAGAAGAAAACATTATATTAGTTGTGTTTTTTTACAAATTATCCAGTAACTCTCCAGTAACTTTATTTCTAAGAATTCGCTCTCATAGAAAAAATTTGCAAAAAAGTACGCGAACGCTTTTCCAGTAATAATTTGCAAGTTTCATGAACAGCTGATAAATTGGTTGTTTGTTCGCAGCATATTCCCAATAAAACGATATATTTTATATTTAAATATGTTTGTTTTGAAAATTTCCACAATAAAAATCCACAAACAGTATCCTTATTAGTTTAAATTTCATCCAGCAACATGCGATCAGCTGTTTTTCGTACTGGCAAATTCTTACAAGTAAAAATTTATCCAGTAAAATCCAGTAAAAACTTGCAACTTCAGCTGTCATTTTTCGCTCTCTCAATTTCCCCTACTTTGCAAGTTTTTGCGTACGAAAACGCCAAAACATGAAAATTCGTAAAAACTTTTACTGGATTTTACTGGAAATGAGTAAAAAAACGCAACTATTATTTTTTTATAAGTGCCGGATGATTTTTAGAATTAAATATTTAAATAAGAAGCTAAACGCACAAAACCATTGGGCGAATAAAAACAAAAAAATGCTTAAAACAGTTTCATGAAAAAATTCTTTCGTTTTATTTACGTGGCTTCCTTTACGGGGTATTCGTTTCTGTCTATATGTACCAAACCTGGTGTTTTTTGCACTCAATTTAGTTATACAAAACGCGAAAATTTTTGAGTTTGGTGCTTGGTGCGTTTTTGTTTTTAGTTTGAAGACACCAAATTTGAAAATCTTAAACAAATTGAAGCCAAGTTTATAGCAAGGTTATAGAAACCTTACAAAAATTTGAACAAAATCGTGGCACAGTGACAATCATAACGACAACAAAATATGTGGCAGCACCAAAGAACGTAGGTTTACGTTCTGGACTAATTTCAACTTAAAGCGGTACGTAAACCCGAGTCAGTTGACGCGATCTGTCTTACCAAAGAACGTAAATGTACATTTACACAATACATTAACGTTTTTTGGTCTTACCAAAGCGCCATGTAAATGAAAACTCAACACCGCAGAATTTTTCTGTAGTTGTAGCCCGTAGCGCAGAAATCTGCGGAATTTAGATTTTTCCGTGTCAGCTGATTTCTCCTTCTTTAGATGGTTGCCACTTCGCCAGTTTTACAGATGGTAAAAAGGTATAATTTCCTATTCACAATATGTTTAAAATATTTGAAATTTACTATTGAATAAGGTTTTTGTTGAAAACTAAGTAGTTTATATTTAGCTAAAATCTATTATAGCACGAAAAATTGTAGTTGAAAGGGTAAGTTTATGAAAAGGCATTGATAAGTGGCAACAGTGTAGTAAGCAACACTGAGGGCTCCAGTAATCGACAAAATTCTGCGTATACTGACTGCGTTTAAGTGTACGTTCTGGGTTCTCGACTAATTTCAGCTTTATTCTGGGGGCAGAAATGTGTGTGAAAAAGAAATAGGATATGAAAATGTCACCCTATTCTACAGTGACTGATTTCCGATTTCCCTTTATTTTTTGACATTTCGTTTGTTCACGACTTTTTCTTACCGCAGTTTGATCAGCTCTTGACGTTTTTACATAATATTCCTCCTAAAGGGTCGGTCTTGAATTTCTTGGCAAATAAACCAACTTTTTGTGCTTTAATTTAAAAAATAATAATAATTTATTTATTTTTCAGCAGGCCGGAAGTTATACACAATGTCACTGACTCAAGTCGTACGTAGTTGCAGCCGCTTTGCTGCTGTTTCAAAGGCACTGCGTGCGACCGCCGCAGTCTCGTCCACTGCCCAGCCACAGCTGCGTATGATGCACAGGATTAGTGTCAACACACCTGCCATTAGCATTTTGCTTAATCAGGTGAGTAACTAAACAACGCATAGAGATACAATTAGTGATTTTGAAAAGTACTTTAAAAATGCGTTCAATAAATGCGTTGTCTTAACCTCAAAGTTGGAAAGGAATCGGTGATACAAATATGAAAAAAGACCTATTTCAAGAATTTAAAGATGTTGGACTACGTAATCGATCATAATAATTGTTATGTTTCTAGCAACAGCATAAAATTCCCCAAACAATCATAAAAGTCATATATAGTTGCATGATTTCGCTAGAATGTTAATAAAAATATGAAACTGCTTTAAGCAAAGAAATTGCAACTTGTAAACTAAAGAAGTACTCATGTAATCATTCGACCTGAGAAGTATATACATACTTATTTTTGTTTGCTAAAGTTACAGAAGATTGTAACATGCAGATGTACATACAACCATGTAGTATAAACGTTGATGCATATAGTAATGGAACTATCATATTTATTGTATCATTCTTTAAGCATACGTATTCTATACATATTCTATTCTACATTCAGAATGTTTACAATGCAAAATCCTATGAGGTACGCACCTATGCATCAGCTAAACGCAGTTTGGAGGAAATACAGGATCGAGTTCTAAAAGTAGTCTCTAGCTATGATAAAGTGACCGCTGATAAGGTAATGGAAGCGTTTAAAGGAAAAACTAACATGTTTTTGTTTGTTCTTTTTCGTTCTTGTTTTCGGTTCATTAGAACAAATCTGTATGGCAATCACAATCGGTGCGAAGCTATTCTGCAAAGCCGCCACTTACTCTTAAATTGATCAACGAACGTGTGTTACTCGTATTGAAACTCTATGATAAGATTGATCCTAGCAAGGTAATAAAATATCGATAAAAAGCAGTGCAACACCTTGAAAACATTGACATTGTTGCTGCCAACATTATTTGATTGAACCGAAAACAAGTCTTTCAAACCTTTTATTAACTTCTATTCATTCAACAGCTCAGCGTGGACTCGCATTTCATTAATGATCTTGGTCTTGACTCGTTGGACCATGTTGAAGTAATCATGGCGATGGAAGATGAATTTGGTTTTGAGATTCCCGATTCAGATGCCGAAAAATTGCTTAAGCCCGCCGACATCATAAAATATGTTGCCGACAAGGAAGACATCTATGATTAAGCTATTAAATTTTAGTGCCTGTAAAGGATAGTAATACGAAGAAGTGAAATGTAATTGGATTCAAATTTACTTTTACTGTTAAACCAAATAAATTTAAAGAGAAAGTAAATTAAATCAATTATTGTCTCACTACATAACTAATGTCTGGGAGTTCCCCGCAAACATTCTGAGCGTCATATATGATCCAAGTTATGAGCCAGCACTTTGTGCAAATATAAAAACAATAAAGATTCGAAATTTATATCTAAACTTGTTTATACAGAAATTGAAAATAATTTGGAAACAAAAAATAAACAAAATTTAGCTGCAGCTGCTGGTATTAAATGTATGTATGTACAGTATTTGAAGCTGAATAAGAGTCGGGGCATAAGATCGATAAGGCTCAAAGAGCAACTTAATATAAAAGTCTGAATTTAGTAATTTATGAGGCCAACAAGAGTCCTTCAAGAGACACAAAAGAGACTGAAATGAATCATATATGAGGCCAAAAATTGTTTTAAAAGAGTTCAAACTGAGCCCTATATGAGGCCAATATGAGTTCAGTATGACGTATATTGAGGCTCATTTAATGTATGAATTTAAGCTCATATAAGTCAAGTTAAGCTCATATATAAGTAAGTATATAACTCATATAAACCCAAGTTTAACAATTTGTAGAAAACTAACAAGAAAGTGCAACAAATTTTCACCTTAATTTCAAACTTTTTTCTCCTAAGTGTTAGAATTTTTTCTGAATACAAAGTTTTATAGCCCAATCAATTTTAGTCTGATAATGTGCAAGTTTAAAGTAACTAAAAGTTACCGTTGATCTTTTAGAATTTGTTTCGCCAAAGGTGTTGCGGTTTTCTTCCATATACAAATAAATTAAGTTTATTCATTATATGGAAGCCAATGCGACAATAAAAAAATTCTAAAAAATTAACGGTAATTCGTAGTCACTTAAAATTTGCACATTATCAGACCAAAATTGCAGAGGCTAATTCAGCGATGGCATTTCGACAGATTCTTCTGAAAATCGTACTACGATGAATTCAGCAATATTCCCTAACATTAGATTTCATGCTTTTCTTTTTCACTTATTATGAATACAAGTAATTAAACAAAAAACAAACCGGACTTCAATTCTCATATAAACAATTTAAGAGTACCGTTAATTTGTTCATAATCCAATGATCGGATTTAAAACGAATGAGTATGGAAACACCTTTCCTTTAAAAAAAGAATTATAGAAATCGGTTAACGTGGTCCAAAGTTATGCGATAACATACATAATTTATAACCTCCTCCTTTTTTGAAGTCGGTTAAAAAGAAGCCGATCTTGTACTCTAATTTTGTTCTATCTTTACAACGTATGTAGTAACAACCTCAAATTTATAAAATTTGCAAACCAGTGTACTTCATTGTGATTACTTCGTAATAAGAAGAAGCATTCAGTTGAATTCTTAAAATTTATTGCTGGCTGCTTAAGATGAACAAGTGGAAATCTTGCTTGATGGATGAAATGCTTAGGGAATTAGGTAAGTAATTAACTGCTTTGAATAATAAAATACTATTCAACATTTTCGTTTGACAGCTGTAAGCCGCCAATCCATCGCTCAACAGTCGAGCACAATATCGGATATCATTGATAAGTCGAACAACATTTTACTGCAACTAGAAAGTTCGCGCGGAAATACCAATTCCAACAACAGTTCAAACAACTCTATCACTCAAAAAAACTATTCCTTCAAAAAAGAAACTGTACAGACATTGGCTAAAATCGTTGAAAACGCACCTCAGCTATTCAGTGCCAATATGCAAACACTTGCAGCCGGATTGAGCCAAAATAGTGGCCAATTTGAAGAGTATTTGGAGCATAGTCATCAGCACGCCGAATATTTGGGCAGTGGTGTACGGAAATTGGTAGCTATCGGTGATACGATGTCCCAAATTAAGGCTGTCATTCAAGAGGAAATGGAGGCTGAAGATAGCTCTGATCAAGGCCACTCGCCGTCGAGTGAATGATTTTTGGTTGGATACAATATGTAGCATAATTTATGTATTTAACAATTTAAATTTTAAACTTATCAGTAATTACATATTTGAAATAGTATTCAATAAATATGTTATTAAATTCATGAAGCTTTCAGTACGCGCAGACTGTGCATTTGCAGTGGGCGTGCCATTTGAAAAAATTTCTTGATTTTCGCGTATGTAATTAAGCTCCTCCAGGTTGCTAAGAATCGTTTGAAGTTTCGCTTCTTCTTCAACCGTCAGGGCTTGTTCTGCATTACTGGTGGTTGGCCGCAATTTCTCCAACTGCTTTCCAAATGCACACAATTGATCGAGCTTAGTTTCATATGAACTTGCAAACTCTAGTTGCTGTACCTCTGCCAAAAACCGTGTGAGCTTTTGCTGAAAATTTCTAAAGTTATTGTAGATTTCAAAGGCTGAAGGCAGCTCTGCTGTGTTACGCATAATATTCTGTAGTGAGGTGCTACAAGGTGATTGCTCACGCGAGTTGATCACAGTCATATCACGCGCCAAAGTACAATTCATGCGCTGCTGCTGTTCTCTTGATGGGGGGCGCTTTGGTTTTTGCAAATTGCAAGGATATTCCTCGAATGCTTTGAATATGTCCGCGAAATCCGTCACAGTCGGATTATCTTTCGAAGGAGTAATTTCCGCGTTTATTTCCTTTACCTCACGCTGATAACCCTCATAAAAGTCTGCCAAACTGATTATTGAAGTTTTAACTCTATTTTCTTTGATGTTTTTCTCATGTTCTTTGTGATTTTTGTATATATTTTTGGATATCTGCTCGAAATCGTCAACTTGTGCCATTATCGCTGAATTTGCAATTTGAAAATTTTATTTTATGATCGTTCACAATAGAACCTAAAAAATAGTGGGATATAGATGAGAATATTCAGAGTTGCCAGCTCTTGATGGCCAGAGAATATCAAAATCAGTTCCTTTCAAGACATAATTTGAGGTACAAATCTTCGGTAAAATATAGTATAGTATATCTACATGCTAATTCCGCGGAATTCGTATGTATCTATTAACCGTACTCAGACTGAATGGTGAGTGCAAATTGCCCTTTATTTGGTATAGAGCTTCCATGGTACCAAATTCGGGTATCGACCAATACTGAAATCAAAATTCAATTTTACTAAAACGAAAATATCAGTTATTCCTAAATCAGTATACCTGCATCCCCGGGCTCTACATAAAATGAAAATGATTGACAAACATGATCACATTCAGGAGTTGGTGCCACGATCCAACTTTTGTTGCCTTGAAGCTGAGCTTGCCACATAAGTCGTGGAATATAATCCAACTAAATGCAACTTAACATATTATTCATAATAAATTTTAATATGTGAACTTACATGCATAAAAACTCCTTGCTCATATCCAATAAAAACATAATCTGCGTTTGGCATTTCAGCGTCGACGGGCAAAAAATGCGGACGTGGATAAAGTTTACGCAGTTCTTCCAATACAGTTGGATGGCAATTGCTCCAGCCGACATACCAAGGTGTCTGTCCCGCTGATAAATTAGAGCGTGCGCTCGGCATGGCAAGCACATCACGTAAGGACTTGAAGTCTGAGCGAAAATGCAGGAAGGGACAATCCTCATCGATCGCGCCAGGTATGCGTTCATATAAGTTTTTAAGATAATTAAAATTTAATATCTTCTTAGCAGCCCAATGTGCCACTGCATTTTTTATTATAATTGGTTGTGATGAATACGCATAAGGTGCAAACTCTTCACGTGTCATATTTTGCAAAACCTTTGGTCCAGAAACATCTCTGGAAATGATAATAGTTTAGTACATAATTTCACACTTCCATATTTGTATTAAAAACCTGCAAAATCCGCAATCACTTATAGGGCGCGTTGCTTCCCACACAATATAATTATTGGGTAAAAAGCAACGCACACCCAAGAAGAATGTAATTAGTTCATAGAATACGGGCGTCACTATCATTATGAAGGCTAGGATGCCCAACACGTACCATAAATTTATTTTATTTGGATCGCGATCAGTATCGCGTGACTTTCTGTATGCTTCCTGTAAATCTGCGGTAGTAACTAGGCCCGTGCGTAAGGCGTCATCGTGCAATGCATCTAATTTTCGCACAAAATCTTCACCTAGAGTTTCGCGTGTACGTTCCGCAGCAGGATTTGCATTGCGAGAAAATGAACGGTTCCATAACTTAAGGAAAATTTAAATATTAATGTTTATCAAATGTATTTAGGTAATAACAACATACCAAAAACATGAGGCGCAGTTGGAAAAAAAGAAACGCGGGCACAATTCCGTGCTTTTTTATGGTTATTGTGGAGCAGACTAGCTTATAAACTTTTTTGTTTAATATCTGCTGAAATTGTAAACAATTGGAAGCGTCAAAACAAGACAATTGAACAGCTGATTTATGCTAAGGATGGTAAGGTTTCGTTGAAACAATCGATATGTTCCGAAATAGATTAGTCTGTTCCTTTGAACTTCGAACTAAAACCTACAATTTTACGCTCTAAATGAGAGTAAAAGGAGAACTGATGCAGAAGTGCATAGGAACGCAAAAAGCACAATTTCCTGTAAAAACGTCAGTCGGTTTGTTTACATGTCACAAAGAACGTAAATGTATAAGAAGCGACAACTCGTTACTTTGAAAATGTGCCGGGACGATTTTGACCGTATCTGAAAGGTTGAGATGAGGAGTTCGTCTCCCTTTTGACTCTGTCCGCGGCAGATTTTTGATTTTCGCCTCGAATGCGGAAAAAGCCAACAAAACAGAAGAAAAGCGGCAAATGTGTGTGAATTTCTGTGGTTATTTCCACAAGTGGTTGAAAAACTGTAATTTAATTTAGAAAATATATAAATTATGGTGCGAAACATAGAATATTCAGTGCTTGTGTAAAATACGGAGGTGCTTGTATGTGAAAGTGTTCATATTAATAATAAAAAGTGTTTGTGAGTGCCAAGTGTTTGTCAACAAGTGCCGATTGTTGGCGTCTGTGGATAAAAAGTGATCATTATTGTAAACAAAACCAGTGTACTTTTATATAAAAATGCATTAGTTTAATAAGAAGTCTATGCATTTAAATATGAGTGTACTTATGTTTTGTTTTCATCTGGAAATTTACATATTTAAAGTGTGCAAAAAAAGTTGTGTCGGGAGACTTGATGGATAAAGTGTGTATACGGCGGCTTTATTACAAAACCAATGTTTATAATATACGATAGCATAAGTTTAATTTAAATCTATGCATTTATACATGAGTATGCATACATTTTGTTATTATCGGGCAAGAATAAATGTTTTCCAATTTTTTGTTCATACGCATGCAAAAAATAAACACATAAATGTGAAACATGAGTTGTCTCCGTCTTTCTCACATCCTCCGCCAAAACAAACGCGTAAATGTGAAACATAAGTTGTCTCCGTCTCTCCCACGTCCTCCGCCATCTTTATCTTGACAAATTCTTAAATTCCTGCGAAATGCCGCGTCCTGACATATTTACGGGCATACACATGATTCAATAATACAAGGGTAGATAATTATTGACAGCTGCGGTTTGACACTCCCTTACAAAAGGTTGCATTTGCGAAGGACAGAGAAAGGGCAAGAATGCAATCCCTTGTTGCGAAAATAGTAGTAGAAAAGTACGCAAAGTAGGCAATTAGTAGTGAAATTCCTTTTGTAAATTCTAATGTATTTGCAGGAAATCTGGCATTTTAAACGAAATGTTGAACGTAATATTGATATATCTACGTGATTTACGTAATTTATATGCTATTTAGCTGTATAAAAACTGCAAAATGACTCAAAATTAAAATAAGACTACTATGAGATCGATGTAAACATCCAAGGCTTATGTTTTCATCAGTTAAATATGCTTCATAATCATATATAAGTACACATTGCACAAAAGCTTATACTTTTATTTCACACAAAGCTACACTGTTTCCATGTAAATTTGCAAAGAAGCAACACGGTGCCACTGCTAAGGGAGCGGTGCGAGAGAGACAACTGTCAGTTTATCGAACCTTGTATTATTGAATCATGT